GTTTTTTTGCACGACCAAGAGAGGGTGGGGGTGGGGGGGGGGGGGGTGTCTGAAGCTGGGGAAACACAGGGCACATTGGTGTCTGTGGGAGACTGTCTGCTATTCATGGTTTGGGAAGGGACCCGCAGAACGCAGGAGATTTTCTATTGCTTTATTTAGCCGCGTTCGGGGTCGATAACAGTGCTCCATTCTCTGCTTTGTTGCTCTGTGTATTTGACCATGGCGGTGTCTGCGTGCCAGCGCACTGGCTCAGAACATTGCTGCCGCTGATCCAGAAAGGGAAAGAAACTTAAGCTGGCCGTACACTATGCGAATTTCAGCCGGTTCATCAAGAAATTTGCACAGTGGGTGCCGCTGTCAGCACCCTTCCGGCCGGAATCCCTCAATCAGAAGATGGAAGGAGCCGGTTGGAAAATCTTCAGCCAAATGGATTAAGAAACCAATCAGCTGCAGGCACCGTTTGGGTATCCTGACAGCGGCAGCCAGCTGCTGTTAGAATATAATGCAAAGCTATTCCTCCATCCACACTCATAAGCGTGGATGGAGGAATCTGTTATATTTTCTGCATTCAGCCTGCACGTTGAACGGAGAAAACATAAAGAATATATGGCCAGCTTTAGCGACTAGAGAAGAAGTCTGTAATGGGCTGGGATGGAGTTCTAAAAAAGTCCAAATTTAGTTTGTAGGGCTCAAAGATGGACATAGTTAAAAAAAAATGGGGCTATGGGTACCTATCCAATTATCACAGCAAGACCAATCCGTTTAAAAATTACATCGCAGGTGCACCAGCTGAATGCGCATGTAAATGCCGTATGCCCAGCTGTGGTCTAACTACAAATCCCATTAGGCACTGCAAGGCTGACAGCCATAAGCATGACTCTCAGATTTGTAGTTTCAACACCACAGCTGGAGGGCTGGAGTTTGCCCACCCTTGTCCTATACAGTCATCCCTTATACTGGCCATACATTAAAGCAGGGGTAGGCAACCTTGGCACTCTAGCTTTTGTGGAACTACAAGTCCCATGAGTCATTGCAAGACTCTGACTGCCACAAGCATGACTCACAGACGTAGAACCATAATGGGAATTGTCGTTTCAGCACAGCCAGAGTGCCATTATTATAGACCAA